TATCATGGGATGTTTTTAGGGGGAAATTAAGCAAGAAAAATCGGGAGCATGATAGCTATGATGGGGGGATAATAAAGACACATGTATAATGGGATGTGATGAATGGATATTATTGGATATTTATGGTGATTACAAGGGGCATATAGCGCAGCTTTCATGGAGAATGATTCCACATCGATGGAAAATGAGGGGAGAAGTGAGCAAAAATTGGGTGAGGAAATTGCTATGGCAACCACAAATGGGGTATACCTTTTCTTGAGAAGCAAACACAGGATGTGAAGCCATGTGAAGTCGCAAAAATTTGGAGAACGGAAATCGAGATTGTCAAAAACAATCCGGGTAGGCAATCAACAAGAACCAGAAGAACATACTTAAATACCATAAATGTTACTAGTAAACTTTTTATTTCACTACCTTTTGGTCTTCATAGCATTTCATAATTGGAATCTTTGGCCACCACGGACATCCCGGCCTGGACTTCTGAAAAATAGTTGTTGTTGAACCCCCGTTATATAATGATGATATCACCGTCCAAAAAATAATCCAACATGTAAAAATTATACGCCATATGAATGGGTATTTAATTTCTGTGTTAGTTCTTTGAATACTCTCGACCATCTTGACCGTGGCACAAGTGATGATGGTTTTAATATGGTTTAATGCACAACTGGGATCTTCAAACTTCTATTTTTTTCTGGATTCCATTCGAAAATATGGAAGTCTTGGAAGTGCAAAATACTCCAAGGGTGAAGCTATGGGACCAGCTGGATCCTGCAAAACAAGCTGGGTAGCTGGGTTGCTGACCTGGGTATCAAGTTGAGTCCTTCCATGTTTAGCTCAAAAACAAGCTGACATCCCTCAGTTTTTATCCAAAAATCACCAAAAATCGCTAAGTCACCTCATGTTCACCCAATTTGTTCAGCACCTTGATCTAGCACGATGGGTTGTGTCAGCTGCACGTGCCAGGGGGTGTCGTCCTGGTCCTCAGCACTGCACTGGGTGATCTGATTTCACCGTGCATGAACCAAGGAGCCAACGAAACGCGACGAAACCCATCATTTTGGAGTGGGAAGATCTAGACGAAACCATGGTTCCCAGGTTCCCATCAAAAGATCGTGGTGTTCTGCCACTTTTTTCCTTCATATGGGTCAGGAAAAAAAAAAACATACTTCCTAAGCGACAGAAGTTAGCACCTGTTGATGCACCCCGTTGATGAGTATCGCAGTGTGGCTGCTTTGCTTTGCTACCCATTCTACAAGAACTTCAAACCCAGAGATACGGAGACAGTGCCACTGCGGGGGGGGGTAGGAACAATGGGAAAAAACCACCAACAATGGCAACCTAGCCCTTGAGTAGGGCAAATATACGCTATACTAGCTACCCTCTGGTTATTTAACATAGCCATAGAAAATGGCCCATAGAAATAGATGGTTTACCTATTAAAAATTGTGATTTTCCATAGCTATGTTCAATAACCAGATGGTATACTATTGGGATCAAAAAAAACCACAGTGGTGTCCAGAAAACGACCAAGTTTCCGCAATGGGTTCCACCACCACGCCATTGCCAGTGAAGCTAAAACTGGCGATGCCTGGCAACCGCAACGCACAACGCAACCCATCACTTTGGGCCATGCCATGGCCATGCCATGGCCATGCCATGGCTACAAGTTGCTTGGGCGAAGTTTCTAGAAAAATCTGGGAAAACCTGGTGGTTTTATCAGTTGAAAAATGCTGTAGAAAAATTCCCCCAAAAAAGGGACATGGCGACCACTCACATTGCAGTTGGATCCGGGGAGCGAAATCCCAAACCTCAAAAATCATTCACCAAACAAAGATGTTTGGAAAAACCATGAAAAGACCATCAAGTATGTCGCAGTATGTCACACTTATGTCACACTTATGTCACTTTTTTGTGATCCCATCCATCATCCCCATCCTACCTGTGTCCTTCAGGTACGATCCCCAGGCGTTTCGACTTGCAAAGGCCGTATCTCTCAACAGCTCGGGCCCTAGGGACTCAGACCTTCGACGTTTTTGCGGCGTAGCTGTGATTCCACATGGAGATTAGTTGAGTGAGTCTCCAACTGGCTTTGTCTGTAAATGGATGGTTTATTTCATGGAAAATCCCAATCTAAAATGGATGCGAACTGGGGGTACCCCCGCATTTTAGGAAACCCCCAGTTTTTCTGTTGTGATTTGCCAGAATTGGTAATACTTATCATTGTGGTTATGGTACCTAATGGTTTTGACACCCTTGGCCACTAGTTGCTAATCTGTGAAACCACAAAAAAAATGGAAATGATGGCATGATAAACTAAATAGGTTTAAATAACATGAATATATGAGCCAACCTGATATGTTTGACCAGAAAATTGCAGTATACTGAAAGACATGGTTTCTTCTTGTACGTTGTGAGGTCAAATCCTCTTCTGTAACTTCTTCTTGTGCATTGTCAGGTCAAATCCTCTTCTGTAACTCAAAGTTCATGCACTTAAATGGACAACAAGAAGGAAAATGTTAGCACCGACGGTGGATTCCTATAGGGTGTCCGGATTGCATCATCAAGTGTGATGCTTGTTGACATGCCTTCTCTTAGAAACCCTGAAAGGAAAAACTCAACTCAGTGTATACCCACTGGCACTCTAACATGGCCATGGAAAATGGGACCACCTTTCAGAAAGGTGAATCATCTACAAATGAGTCAGTCGTCATTTTCCATGGCTATGTCGACCCAAGGCCACGCCTGCACTTCGCCAGTCGGTTTCGAAAACACTGTTCCCAATCAGTTTACGGCCATAAATGGGGTGTCTTCCCTTTCAAGACAAACCAATGGTTTCTTGTGAGATCGTGTGGATATTCCGTGGGGATCAGGGATCTACCCGGATCTACCCTTCTCATCCTGGGGGGATAAGCCTCCGTCATCCCCACTGGTTGATGGGCACTCTCACAATGGGTCAAATAATCCCTTTCAGAAACCCCCAAAAAAAAAATGACTCATCCGCCATGAACCAACCATCATCAATATCATCAAAAATCAAGTCCATCCATGTCCATCCATGTCCATTCCATGTATTTCCCCAATGTTTGCTGGTTAAACCACGTTTAAACATGTTCGACAACCTGTTTTGTATGTCATGGTTTTATCCCCATTGACTAACCCATAGCACCCTCGGCCCTCGTTCGCTCTCTTCGCTCTCTTCGTTCCACGCCACGGGCATCCCCAGATGTCGTTGAAGCTCTCGGACGCAGGGCATGCTGCAACGCTCCTGGAGGGATTGCCACTTTTTTTGCACAGATAATCATACATATATTATATATATATATATATCTGCTTGGTGGTTGACCTACCCCTCTGAAAAATATGCTCAAGTCAGTTGGGATGATGAAATTCCCAATATCTGGAAAAAAAATAGTTAAAAAAATGTTCCAAACCACCAACCAGTATATATATATATATATTCATGGCAAATCTCAGATATCCTGCATCCTTTTTTGAAGAAAAAAACGAATCTTCAGCTGGTTATGTTTAGTATCAAATCCCCATGTTTTAAATGGCTAAAGCGGCTAAAGATTGTGTGCTTTCAATGGTCAAGACATGGTCAAGACATCACGTACATCCCATCCACCAGCAATGGCCCCGAAAAATTGCTATATGAAACTTATGGAATGACCATCTGACCATCTGCCTGGTACTGTGCTAAATGGATTCCCGACTGACTCCTCCGAGGCAGCTGGTTGAAACTGCTTCGAATTTCTTTTCCAAACCGGATGGATTTTAAGGCCAGCATCCAATAGACTGCATCTGGATACCCTCTGGTAAACGTTAACAAAAAACTATGGAAAACCACCATTTTTAATGGGAAAACTCACTATAAATGGCCATTTTCAATAGCTATGTTAAATTACCAGAGTGTAAATTTAATCATAAGTCACCAAGCTGAAAAGTTCGGCGAAAGTGAAAAATCGTTTATCCAATTCCCATCATTCCAGTGACGGAAAGCGACGTGAGGTGATTGTAATATTCGATCATATCATCCCACGAATATCCCATGAATATTCCAAATGAAAATTGAATATAATTGGATGAAACAAAATCACCTCATTATACACAAATAATTTAGATGGTTTCATTCCAAATATCCCATCAACTAGTATTAATGGGACATTGAGGGAGATAGTTGATATTCTCATGGAATACTACTATTAATCATTAACTATTCCCATTGGATTCTTAGGTAATTATTTATTACTAGTAGATACTATTAGTAAGATACTAGTAGACAGTTGATATTATTATTCAATTCTCATTACTCCCATTGGATATCAATTGAAGAATCATATCAACATTGTAATCCCATGGATGCTTCATCATTATCAATGGGATAAATCCATTGAATTAATATACCCTCTGGTAAACGTTTACAGAACTTGCTCTTGAAGCCATGGCCACCCAGTCGAAATAATTGATTTACCCAGCTATAAAATGGTGGATCTTTCCATCGTTTTTTGTATGTTTACCAGAGGGTAATCCCCTTGGATGCACCGATGCACCATCCCCCCATCGGCCCGGTCCCATCGGTTCCCATCGGTTCCCATCGGTCCAGCTCAGGGTCAATGTCAGCATGTGCCACAAGCGCAAGACCGTCATGGCGTCGGATTTTGTTTGGCGGTGAAATTCACGTGTTTTGAATCCACCGGATTCACCGGGAAGCCATGGCTTTTCTCTCCGTTTTCATGGAAAATCCAGGAAAAAATCACGAAAAAAACCGGTAAACCAATTCTCTGGTGATTGAAAGAAGTTAAAGGTCTGGAGAAAACTGAGAGAGTGAGTCGGATTTAGCGGCTCATCTATCATTTTCAAACATGTCAAGTGTCATCGGATTTTTTTTCACATTGTCTTTGAAAAGTCTCAGCTAAGCTGTCAACCTCAGCACTCCAGGCAATTCCAGGCCTCAAATCAGCTGAAATGCAGCTTCAATGGACTAGTTTTAGTTTAGTTGGCCAACTTGAAGCCATGTGGAATCCATTGGAGTCAACGACCAACATACCAACATCATCCAACACCATCCCAGTATCCCAGTATCCCCCTCGACCCAGTTTTTTCAGCCATGGCACCGCTTAAAACCTGAGGTTTTTTAAGGCACCTGCGCTTGAAGCTTTGGACGCTTAACTACCTGTTGAGAAAGACAACAAGTGGGTCCTGCATTTCTGCCAAAAGCAGAAAAGGGTTATCAGGGCATGTGGATCAGTTGCAGCTCACTTCTTCTTGCCACCCTTGTCATCACCCTCGCCCTTGCGCTCGCAGCTCACCACCTTGCCAAGCATCACCACACCGTTGCCGTCCATGAAGGCAACACGGGAGAGGCCCTCGCAGTTCTTGAAGGTGTCGCAGACCAATGGCTGCTGTGGCTGGAAGCTGCACTGAGCCATCTCGTTGGACTTCAGGGAGTGAGGGTCCTCCATCTTCTTGCCACCAGTCTCCTTGCCCATCTTCCACTTCAGGGCGGACACACGGCATGCTGCGCGACCGCATCGCACAAAGCCAATGGGGGAGTAGCCCACCTTGATCTCGTTGGGGATGTCCAGCACCTGGATCTGAGCATCGAACTCCTTGGTCTGGCCCAGGGTGGTGTCCTTCTTGTAGACCATCACGTCACCGGAGCGGGGCATGTTGTTCTTGTCAAGACCCTTGATGTTCAGGCCCACGTTGTCGCCAGGGTTGGCGAAGTCCACACGCTGGTGGTGCATCTCCACGGTGAAGACCTTGCCTGTGCATGGGTTGGAGGCAGTGTGAGTGGGCAAGAAGACCACCTCCTCACCAGGCTTCACCACACCCTGCTCGACACGTCCGGCAAGCACATCACCCACACCCTTGATCTTGTAGATGCCGGAGATTGGCATGCGCATGGGGGCGCTCACAGGACGCTCAGGCACACGGCACATCTTGTCCAGCACATCGTACACGGTGTCAACGTGGATGGTCTCGCTGCCAACCTCAACATCCTGACCCTTCCACCAGCCCATGTTCTCAGACTTCTTCAGCAGGTTGTCACCCATCCAGCCGGAGATTGGCATCACAGGGGTGCTCTTCTCAATGAAGTCCTTCTTCCAGCCAACCTTCACCAACATGCTCTTCATCTCGTTGGCAACCTCGTCATACCTGGCCTGCTTGTAGCCGGCAGTGTCGCAGTCCATCTTGTTCACGCCAATGCAGATCTGCTTCACACCCAGCAAGTTGATAAGGCGGGAGTGCTGACGAGTCTGTCCCTGGATCTCACCAGCCTTGTGGTTGCCCTTGGCAATGGCAGTGGTGAAGTTACCATCAGCTGGCACCATGATCAGTGCCACATCGGCCTGGGAGGCACCGGTAATCATGTTCTTGATGAAGTCACGGTGGCCTGGGGCATCGATGATGGTGTAGTGCCACTTCTCGGTGAAGAACTCCTTGGTGGTGCATGCAATGGTCACACCACGCTCACGCTCCTCCTTCTGTCTGTCCATGAAGAAGGCAAATGCGAAGGAGCCCTTGCCCAAACGCTCAGCTTCCGCCTTCAGCTTCTCCAAATCACGCTCAGGCAGGCCACCCAGCTCAAAGATCAAGCGGCCGGTGGTGGTGCTCTTGCCACTGTCGACATGGCCGCAGATCACAATGGACAGGTGAGGCTTCTCCGAGTTAGCCGGCATGGCTGTCACGAGATTGCTCTATCAGCTAACCTCTTCGCTGCAAAATTTTTGCGGCCAGGGCTGCGGACAGGGAGAAGGTTTGATGCGATCAGCACTTGCAAAGGTTGGTTGAAGAATTAAAACATATTAAAACCAAAAAACTGTACAACCAGATGAAGCTGGAAATGTTACGGACAATCATTGATACCAATACCATCCAATACCTATTTGCTGACGCTGTTCCAAGAAAGCTTTCCCAAGGACATGTCACTGGCCCCACTGCTCAATATGCATTTACACTCTCCGGGAAACAAGAACTTGAATCTTCTGATCTTCAACGGAAGAAAAGACTATGCTGCTATGCTTAACCATGCTTAACCTTGAAACCATTTCAACTTCCTGTGGGCTAGATTCACATCTCTTTTCTCTCCATCCGTACACCATGGCTAGGATGACAAGGCAGTTCTCGGTTCACTTCTTCTTGCCACCCTTGTCATCACCCTCGCCCTTGCGCTCGCAGCTCACCACCTTGCCAAGCATCACCACACCGTTGCCGTCCATGAAGGCAACACGGGAGAGGCCCTCGCAGTTCTTGAAGGTGTCGCAGACCAATGGCTGCTGTGGCTGGAAGCTGCACTGAGCCATCTCGTTGGACTTCAGGGAGTGAGGGTCCTCCATCTTCTTGCTACCAGTCTCCTTGCCCATCTTCCACTTCAGGGCGGACACACGGCATGCTGCACGACCGCATCGCACAAAGCCAATGGGAGAGTAGCCCACCTTGATCTCGTTGGGGATGTCCAGCACCTGGATCTGAGCATCGAACTCCTTGGTCTGGCCCAGGGTGGTGTCCTTCTTGTAGACCATCACGTCACCAGAGCGGGGCATGTTGTTCTTGTCAAGACCCTTGATGTTCAGGCCCACGTTGTCGCCAGGGTTGGCGAAGTCCACACGCTGGTGGTGCATCTCCACAGTGAAGACCTTGCCTGTGCATGGGTTGGAGGCAGTGTGAGTGGGCAAGAAGACTACCTCTTCACCAGGCTTCACCACACCCTGCTCGACACGTCCGGCAAGCACATCACCCACACCCTTGATCTTGTAGATGCCGGAGATTGGCATGCGCATGGGGGCGCTCACAGGACGCTCAGGCACACGGCACATCTTGTCCAGCACATCGTACACGGTGTCAACGTGGATGGTCTCGCTGCCAACCTCAACATCCTGACCCTTCCACCAGCCCATGTTCTCAGACTTCTTCAGCAGGTTGTCACCCATCCAGCCGGAGATTGGCATCACAGGGGTGCTCTTCTCAATGAAGTCCTTCTTCCAGCCAACCTTCACCAACATGCTCTTCATCTCGTTGGCAACCTCGTCATACCTGGCCTGCTTGTAGCCGGCAGTGTCACAGTCCATCTTGTTCACGCCAATGCAGATCTGCTTCACACCCAGCAAGTTGATAAGACGGGAGTGCTGACGAGTTTGTCCCTGGATCTCACCAGCCTTGTGGTTGCCCTTGGCAATGGCAGTGGTGAAGTTACCATCAGCTGGCACCATGATCAGTGCCACATCGGCCTGGGAGGCACCGGTAATCATGTTCTTGATGAAGTCACGGTGGCCTGGGGCATCGATGATGGTGTAGTGCCACTTCTCGGTGAAGAACTCCTTGGTGGTGCATGCAATGGTCACACCACGCTCACGCTCCTCCTTCTGTCTGTCCATGAAGAAGGCAAATGCGAAGGAGCCCTTGCCCAAACGCTCAGCTTCCGCCTTCAGCTTCTCCAAATCACGCTCAGGCAGGCCACCAAGCTCAAAGATCAAGCGGCCGGTGGTGGTGCTCTTGCCACTGTCGACATGGCCGCAGATCACAATGGACAGGTGAGGCTTCTCCGAGTTGGCCGGCATGGCTGTTACGAGATTGCTCTATCAGCTAACCTCTTCGCTGCAATTTTTTTGCGGCCAGGGCTGCGGAGGAACCAATCAAAATTCAAACTGCAAAAAGAAACTGGGATGTGTTTACATGACTGATTGGTGATTTCAATGCCTATAAATTAGTCATTGGGGATTATCATCCCAAACAGGAAAGGGGTAGAACAAAACAGCCAGATGATGCTGCTGGACGAAACAAGTTTCATGTCTGCGGTGAAAAGCATCCAATGCTAGGAGTAGAAAAGTCTTGGTATTGCGCCCCCAAAAACGATAGAAATGTACAATCCTACTAAAATAAGAATAAATCGAACAAATACATCAAATCCGTCTCTATCGTTTTTGGGATTGCTATAGATTCTGGAATTTGATCAACCTGAAAAAGTTCGGCCATTTGGGCATCGTGACATACAGCTGTCAACATCCCTAGGGTCAATTCATGATATATCCCCCCAGGTTTTGCAGCGATCTATGTTGACTCGAAAAAATACATGTTTAAGTACCCCACGTCAGCCACATATTATTCATATATATATACATATACATACATATATAGTCATGACTATATAATACTATATATACATATAATAACATCAGATAACTCCATGAAAACAGGGTCTATCACCGAAGAAAACCACGGGCTTTTCCAATCATCTCACCTGCGATGGACGCTTGTAGCTAGTCTGCAACTAGTTGGTCCAAGCTGGTGCTGAAGATGGGAATGAAACGGGAAACAACGGCAAAAAAAAACTTATCATGACTATTGGGAGTGCAAAGTCTGGAATCAAAACTGAAAAACATGATCTATTATGATCTATTCTCATATTCAGAACCTGCACATCCAGGTAAGCTTTCAGAACACCTGGCAATAAGAGCTCACTTCTTCTTGCCACCCTTGTCATCACCCTCGCCCTTGCGCTCGCAGCTCACCACCTTGCCAAGCATCACCACACCGTTGCCGTCCATGAAGGCAACACGGGAGAGGCCCTCGCAGTTCTTGAAGGTGTCGCAGACCAATGGCTGCTGTGGCTGGAAGCTGCACTGAGCCATCTCGTTGGACTTCAGGGAGTGAGGGTCCTCCATCTTCTTGCCACCAGTCTCCTTGCCCATCTTCCACTTCAGGGCGGACACACGGCATGCTGCGCGACCGCATCGCACAAAGCCAATGGGGGAGTAGCCCACCTTGATCTCGTTCGGGATGTCCAGCACCTGGATCTGAGCATCGAACTCCTTGGTCTGGCCCAGGGTGGTGTCCTTCTTGTAGACCATCACGTCACCAGAGCGGGGCATGTTGTTCTTGTCAAGACCCTTGATGTTCAGGCCCACGTTGTCGCCAGGGTTGGCGAAGTCCACACGCTGGTGGTGCATCTCCACGGTGAAGACCTTGCCTGTGCATGGGTTGGAGGCAGTGTGAGTGGGCAAGAAGACCACCTCCTCACCAGGCTTCACCACACCCTGCTCGACACGTCCGGCAAGCACATCACCCACACCCTTGATCTTGTAGATGCCGGAGATTGGCATGCGCATGGGGGCGCTCACAGGACGCTCAGGCACACGGCACATCTTGTCCAGCACATCGTACACGGTGTCAACGTGGATGGTCTCGCTGCCAACCTCAACATCCTGACCCTTCCACCAGCCCATGTTCTCAGACTTCTTCAGCAGGTTGTCACCCATCCAGCCGGAGATTGGCATCACGGGGGTGCTCTTCTCAATGAAGTCCTTCTTCCAGCCAACCTTCACCAACATGCTCTTCATCTCGTTGGCAACCTCGTCATACCTGGCCTGCTTGTAGCCGGCAGTGTCACAGTCCATCTTGTTCACGCCAATGCAGATCTGCTTCACACCCAGCAAGTTGATAAGACGGGAGTGCTGACGAGTTTGTCCCTGGATCTCACCAGCCTTGTGGTTGCCCTTGGCAATGGCAGTGGTGAAGTTACCATCAGCTGGCACCATGATCAGTGCCACATCGGCCTGGGAGGCACCGGTAATCATGTTCTTGATGAAGTCACGGTGGCCTGGGGCATCGATGATGGTGTAGTGCCACTTCTCGGTGAAGAACTCCTTGGTGGTGCATGCAATGGTCACACCACGCTCACGCTCCTCCTTCTGTCTGTCCATGAAGAAGGCAAATGCGAAAGAGCCCTTGCCCAAACGCTCAGCTTCCGCCTTCAGCTTCTCCAAATCACGCTCAGGCAGGCCACCCAGCTCAAAGATCAAGCGGCCGGTGGTGGTGCTCTTGCCACTGTCGACATGGCCGCAGATCACGATGGAAAGGTGAGGCTTCTCCGAGTTGGCCGGCATGGCTGTTACCAGATAGCTCTATTGGAGAACTTTATTTGAGCACTGCAAAACTGGCCAGGGCTGCGAACGAGAGGAAGAATACCAGAACGAATGCACGACGGGCACGAGGAATTTCAAAAGCAATCTACCCTGATCACAACAACCATCAGTATTTTTTTTCCACGAAAGCCTGCATTTGATGGTGTTTTACCCATCCACGAATAACATGTCCCATCCATTGAGCATTGCCATCTCTTGACCTGATGAATATCAGCGGATTTGTTGTTCACCCATCTTCGACCTTGTCTGGATGGAGAGATGTGGTTTTTTGGAAAGGCCCATTCTTGAGCCAGTGATTATGAACAAAAACACAAAAACATGTTTGGTAGGGTTGAAAATTCAACAAAAAAAACTGCGCTTTCCGCGGCAACTGACTCTTTTGCTCACCAGTTCTGTTCCATTTCCGGGACGCTTAGAAACGGGTCCCGTGAAGTGGAGAAGTTGACCGTGGGGCGGTCTGGCTGTGGACATGACAGAGTTGCTAAACAAATATGACGGGAAATATCATAGATGTCATAGGGATATTGTATAGGGAAAAAATGATGCTTACTGGGATGTATAGCCAACTTGATATGAAATTTCCAACGAATAGACATCCACTAATACAGTTTTCATATAAAACTACTGCAAAACCAACTTATTCACTTGCATGTTCTTTAGAATCTCCGATTTTGCCACTTCTTGAGTGAAAATGTAGTGGATTCACCCAAACATGGCAACATGTGGCAACTTTAATGGGGAAAATGAGGACCACATTT